TGAGCTTTGAATAAGGAAGCAGCGAAAGAATTAGTTCACTATTCACACAAAAGAATTAGTTCACCATTCACACCATTCACTATTATATTGTGTCTAGTGTAATTCAGGGACACCCCCTACCTACCAGTCCTAAGGTCATTTACTTGGAGGTATTTTCTACCTTCCTCCTAATCCTATTAATTCCTCCTAACCCAACCCTACCACCTGTTTTCTCCTAAATCTGCTCCTACCCTAAACTTGAAAACTGCTCTTCCTGATTTAAGTGCCCTGAATCCACTTAATGATGAAAGATCACATCATAAAGAAAAGAGTCTGCGTGCATACAAGACAATTATTGTGCTGTTTTTAATGTGTTAATGATACATATAATAGTTAAAGTGAAAGGCAATAGTTAATATTAATAATAGTTAAATTACCTAACTCAAGTGAAGCAATTTTAGATGAAGCTTATGATCTTTATCTTAAATGGATCCATTAGTTTATTTTTTTTTTTTAAGAGGCTTGTTAAATCAATGTCATTGTTATTTGGGTTTTCATTTAAAAGCATAGATAAAAATGTTGGAAGGGGGGGAATCCTGTAAATTTTAGTGTATTGTATACAACACTTCCAAATATATTTGGTCCTGGTTGAAAACCGGAAATTATATTTGAAACACTTCATGACATATGGATACATTGTTCTTGTACGTTTTTAAAAATCAAATCAAATAAATAATACAATTTTGATCCTGTTGAAGGTGTAACTTTGTTACTATGCAACATAAATTGTTAAAGGAGCATACACATAAACATTTTCACTGATGAACCTCTCACAAAAGAGTATAGAGTTTTCAGGTGAAGAATTAAGGGGGAAAAAATAACCTGATGCTGTTTACATAGAATTAATTTCCATTTATGGGAATTTGGGGTTAGGGACCGACTTCCAATTCACTGGGCATAAGACTGCAAATTCATTGCCAACTAAATTTCATCAGATTGTACTGTTATACATATTTCTACTTAGAATCCCATTTTATAAAGACGAAAAATGGATGCAGTTTTATTTCGTTTGACTTGGGGAAAGAGGCATGAAATCTGGATTCCGAACCAATTGGGCGCAGATCGGAAGAACTGGAGAAAGCAAAAAAGAAAAAGAAAAAAAGAGCGGAGAATGCATAATGGGGAAGCAAAATATTTTCTTCCTTGGAGCATTAAAATTTGGGGGCAGGGGGAGAATCATCCCGGAAAAACAAATGAAGAGTTTTAAAAACGACTAAGAATTGCCACCTTGAAGCACAACTTTAAACCACAGACCTGAAATCTCGTAATTTTGAAAACTTCCCCTGCTACTTCAGAGGAAGCACGAAAATGTCTATAAATAAATAAATCGAGAGCTTCTGCTAGGAATTTGCAAATTGTAAACTGAAAAAGGGTCTTTAATTCGGCTGCGCTTTTCGGATAAAGAGAACAGACCGCCGGGTAGGGGGAAAATGCAGAAAATCGGACCGGCCGCGACGCGAACAAAAGCCGAGAAAATTGACATCGACTCCGAAACCAAACAGCAACAAATAAACAAAGATAAGCCCACATCAAAGGGCTTCCCCAAAACCTAGCTCAAGCCCCGTTTTACTAGCCGCGCGCCAGTTTCGAAGGATCAGTTTGCCTGGTTTCTCCGTCGTGTGAACTGAAAGCGAAGCGGCTTCCATTGTCCGGTGCTCGCGTGATTTTCAGCGTCGCAAATGATGGATGCCAGGGGGGGTGGGGGGTGGGGGGGAGGAGGAGGAGGAGGAAGACGAGATATTCCTTTGGTGATTTAGGAGCCTACGGGTCTGTTCGCTCTCAACTCATTTCCCCCCCAATAAATTATTTTTAAAACCGAAGCGGCTATAAATCTGCTCGTTTCGTCTAAACACCGACCCGGGTCACTCCTGAAATCAGCATAAAGTGGATATTCGCGAGGTGACGACTAAGAAAAACTCTAAACCGCCGCTTTCATTTTAACTCCGCGGGAAAAACGACCCCCGGGACTTCTCGCATCTCTTTCCCCTTTAACAGTCACTTTCCAGCCACGACACCTTTTTAAACTTTGCAAGGGAAACTCCGAAATTAAAAACGGGAGAGGAGCAATGCTGAAGCCTCTACTTCCAGGAAAACCGAGGCTTGCGGGGTAAGAATCCGGCCGGGAAGGAAGCTCAGTGGAATTGCGATCAGCCTCCTTGCTCCTTCTAGCGGAAAAGACCAGGGAATTTTGTTTCGAATAAATATATGGCTAAGAATAGACTGGCAGAGAGTTGAAGGGGGAAACTTATAAGGGCTAGGCCCCTGGGCTGCAGAAGAGTGGATTTTCTCATGTACACATTTTTCTTCTGCTTTAAAAAGTAGCCCTTTAAATACATAGCCTTCTCAACAAGCTAATAGAAACATCTTCCCCAACTAGTGTAAAGCAAGTATTTAGATTTTTTTATTTTTATTTTAAAAACAGATGCAGTTCCAGATTAAATTTGGAGCAGTCAAAATATCCAGACCCTGAGAAGTAGCATTTTCAATCTACATATACTCTGGTTTCTCTTCAGATGGTATAAATTGTATTTTCAATCTACATGTGAAAAAAATGTGATGCTTCAGTGCTGGAGCATCGTCCTGTTTTTCACTTACACTTGGTCTCATATGTTTGATCAGCTATCTCTAGCATGAATTTTCCTACCAGCTAAAATGATTTCCACTTTTCCAAAGCAACGGGTTTGGAATTATTTCCACTTTCCCAAAGCTAAGTGTCTTGTCCTGCCTTAAACCAAAGGATGCAGATCTAAGACTTGGTGGGAAGATCTACAAGTAAGGTGCTAGTCCCTTTGGTAGCAATGAAGGAAAAGAAAACTAACTCCAGAGGGGCAGGTGGGGGGTGGAAATGGAACTACATTCATTTAACTTCTCAGGGGTGAAGCCTTTCCCCAAGGCTAACATTTGACTGATCAGAATTTTATCTAAATAACTTATTTCCTATTGGAGCTGGCTTTTGACAGGCCCTGCAATGGGGAAAGATCCAGAGACATTTTATGCTGATGAGATATGCATGCTGATGTGTGCATACACCATGCCCAGGTCAAATCTCAAAGTCACAAATTCCAAGGCGCACTTGGCAACAGGTCAGGTGCATTCAAGTCAATGCATGTTTGGTTCAATTATGCCTGGGTGGCACCTTGTTCCTCAGCATCTTTACAACATGTGATGTCCAGGCTAATATGAATAAACTGAGTTCCTTTTTAAAATAGACCTGGAAATAAAGCTCAGCTCCCTACGTCCCCTCAAGGGCACTTTCCATAGGAACTAATTAATGGCCACTTGGTCCCCTTTGGAATTCATCTTAAAGAGCTCTTCAAATGCTTTCCTTTAACAATTGTGTCTTAAATACTTTCCATACAATTAAACCATTTAGCTTTTCATGCCTGTCTTTCCCCATATCATCTTCCGATCTGGGAGCTCTTTTGATTTGGGGTGTGTTGCTTTGTGAAATCTTGTTCCTGAAAAGACACTTGTAGCTAACTTACATACTTACCCTAAGCAGAAAAATACATGTGCGTGGAATTTATTCAGAAAACTTAACGCTAGTCAGAAGGTGCTAATGAATGCAGATTCAGACACAAATCATCCACACTTAAGAGATGAGAAGTACTGGAGATATCGACAACCAGGTTCCCATATTTGCTAAGCAATATTATGGTCTGTTTGCTTTGTGCGAACTCAGTCATTCTTGCCTGCTAAACATCTCACTGCTTGGCACAATCTACAAATGAGGCCTACGGGTATCTTTC